TGGTTTATTGTAAATATTAATTGTTAATTACTCTTGAGTTCTTGAGTTAGTCCACAGTGTAAATTACGTACATCAGTTGTACAATGGTTAAACACATAAGTTATTTTAGACGAGTCGATTTAGCCCAAAAAATCCTCCAAGATAGAACAAATTCCAACAAATGGTTTTTCGATGGTTTTTGTTAGTAATAGGTGTAGAAAGTGCCAGGAAGAAAGTCTACCAAAATCGGACAACCGGAAGTCGGGTTTTTCCAAGATGGCCGCCGTGAAGCCCTCAAATCGACAAGATGACTGCAAATTCGTCGATTCATAGTTCAGGATTGGCCGATTTCCATGAAAATTGGCAATTACATGTAGAACTATATTTACAACCTTAAATATGAAAACTAGGCAGACAAAGTAACCCAAAGATGAATTTTCAGGGTATTATGTGCTAAAAAATCAGATTTTCTTACCTCAAATATATGTTTTTCTAATATTTTGTACAAAGTTTGTTATAATTTCAAATTTATTTTTTCACCATTAGATTCAACACAAAAAACCTAACAATTTAGTATTTTAAATCTTTGTTCTGCTTCAATTTGTTACAGAGATATTGAAAGTAATAACTTTAGTATGTTTTCTTGCCGAGATAGCTCAATGTTAATCTTATGGAGAATAAGCATAAATATTAATATTATTTTTCATTAAACCTATATAGATAAGAATTTTTGTTCTGCTTCATATTATCTGTTTTAATATTTTTTTACTAAAAATTCCTTTTTTGGCAGTTACCATTGCAGCAAACCTACGTATTCGGTTCCTCAGTTTTAATCATAAAGAGAATAAGCAAAAATCAATTTTTTTTTGTCCGAGAAGTATAGAATATAACCTTAAAAACAATACAAGAACACGTTTAATGGTTTTATGTTGTAGTTTTGGGTGTGCAGAGTCGGATTTTCCCAACATTGGACAAACTTTGAAAAAAGATACCATTAGTATTTTCTATGCACAATTTTCTAAATATTGACTTGGGACCAACATCGATATTTATTGGGTGGTCAGTACTTTATTTCGATGGGAAACGTATTTTGACCGCCATTTTGGATCCACCTTATTGGATATAATTTTTTGTTGTTGTAACGACAGTGTTGTGACACATTATTACTATATATACTAGATTTTCACGCATATTCCATGGCCGAAACCCGTTTTTAAATACATTTTTTTGTTTTAAACGAACTTTGAATTTTTTTTACGATTATTTTCCTCACCTTCAGTTAGTAGTTCATTCTTAAATAATTAATGATGTAAGGGCTTTCATTTGAGCTATTGATCATTAAAATTGGACCAGTTAGAAACGAGATACCAATCCCAACAAAATATTAATTTAACTTTTTATAAATAAGTTTTTATTAAATGATTTATATCTCGAGTTTTTAATACGTCACCAAGTTCTTTCTGGTGTATCCCCAATATATCCCCAATTCTAATAACTCCCAATAAATAATCCATAACTACAGTAAAAGTCAATACTTTGATGAATCTTTTAAGATTATAAAGAGTATTGGGTGTTATTTTTCGATTTGGGGGTATATGTCTTAAACTAAAGACAAATCTCGAAAAAAAAATTATTGTTAAATAAGACAGACCCATATTAAATCAGTCACATTTTATTTAGTGATTAAAAAAATTAACCCAAACATTTACTGATTAATATGAAACCAGAAAGAACTTGGTGGTGTATTAAGAACCCGAGATATAAATATTTTAATAAAAATGTATTTCTAAAAAGTGAAATTTAATATTTGGTTGGGTTGGTAACTAGTCTCTAACTCGTCGGATTTTAATGATCAATAGCTCAAATGAAAGCCCTTACATTACTAAATGTTTACGGCTAGAACGAACTGCAAGCGTTAATATGAACTGGAGATATAAGAAAAAATAATCTTAAAAAATGTCCAAAATACGAAACGTCCTTAAGAAATGTATGCAGGAGAATTTTCGTTTGAATATATCTTTAAAACGAAAAAAAAGATATTTAAAAACTCATTTTGGCAATGGAATGGGCGTGAGAATCTAGTTTAAAATAATGTGTCACAACATTGCCATTATATTAAACAAATTATTTATATCCAATATGGCCGATCCAATATGACGGTCAAAAACACGTTCCCTATTGAAATGACACTGTCGTTAAATTTTAATAAAAAAATATTTATATCAGATAGGGGGATCCAAAATGACGGCCGAAAACACATTCCCTATCGAAATGAAGAAATGACCACCCAATAAATATTGGTGGTGGTCTGAAGTCAATATCAATGCAAATGCATGTGGATTTTTTTAAATTTTTCCAATGTTGAGAAAATCCGTCATATTAAATCTTGATTCTAGGGGTTTTCCAGTAGACCGATTTTTGGCAATTTTTACTACTATATGTTACTCTGCATACCCAACACTACAACATAAAACCATAAAACGTTTTCTTGAAATTTTTTTAGGTAATATTCTATACTTATCGGACTAATAAAAAAATTGATTTTTGCTTATTCTCTTTATGATTAAAACTGAGGAACCGAATACGTAGGTTTGCTGCAATGGTAACTGCCAAAAAAGGAATTTTTAGTAAAAAAATATTAAAACAGATAATATGAAGCAGAACAAAAATTCTTATCTATATAGGTTTAATGAAAAATAATATTAATATTTATGCTTATTCTCCATAAGATTAACATTGAGCTATCTCGGCAAGAAAACATACTAAAGTTATTACTTTCAATATCTCTGTAACAAATTGAAGCAGAACAAAGATTTAATATACTAAATTGTTAGGTTTTTTGTGTTAAATCTAATGGTGAAAAAATAAATTTGAAATTATAACAAACTTTGTACAAAATATTAGAAAAACATATATTTGAGGTAAAAAATATCTTATTTTTTAGCACATAATACCCTGAAAATTCATCTTTGGGTTACTTTGTCTGCCTAGTTTTCATATTTAAGGTTGTAAATATATTCTACATTTGTTTGCCAATTTTCGTGGAAATCGGCCAATCCTGGAACTATGAATCGACGAATTTGCAGTCATCTTGCCGATTTGAGGGCCTCACGGCGGCCATCTTGGAAAACCCCGACTTCCGGTTGTCTGATTTTGGTAGACTTTTTTCCTGGTACTTTCTACACCTATTACTTCCAAAAACCGTCGAAAAACCATTTGTTGGAATTTGTTCTATCTGAAGTGCCTATATTTACTCGACTATTTACATATTATGTAGGTTACAGTAGAACATCTGTTATAATGTCTAACATAATTATAAAATTTGAAACAATGCAGGTTGTTTGTAACATCATCAACATCAGTTGATCCAAACAATCGGCTAAATTTCCCACAAGGAAGGATATACACTTACGAGTTTTGATTGTGAATTTTTTATTTCATACTCATACTCACGATCATCTTTTTAACAAATTTCCTTATACAGAAGTGGGGAATGATGCAACAACTTAAGTCATTTTGATCTGATTTGAATTAAATTTGTCTTGAAGGTGTAGATCGGGATAAATTTGAATTAAGTTTGCAAACCAGCAAGATCGGCTCATAAGAATGGGAAGGCTTTAAAATAAAAAAAGTTTTATTTTTTATTTTTACCTTCAAACATATGGAAATGCCCAGTTTTCATTGCAGCTATCATATAGAGTTTAATAAAACAAACAATTTTGTAAGTTAAGGTGTGGTTGTAAAAAAACAAAAATAAAACATAACTGTACGTTCAAATTTCTCATATTATTCAAGGAGAAAAAGGAAACTTGTAGATTGCTTATTTATGAATATATTTTGATCTAACTTGGCAAATTTACGTTATTCATTGTAGCCCTATACAATTAAAATTTAGATATGGTAACACTTTTTACCTTCCCGTAGAAGCAAATCTAAGTACTTGTTAAATCTAATGTTATTTAAAAACAGAATAAATATGTTGATTCACGGAAATATTTGAGTAAAAGTCCATTTAGACAAAATGAAATTAGCTTAGTCTGCAAATATTGTATGAAGGTAATTTTTTCAGGTGGGGGTATTTTATGTATTTGGCGAACATAATTAATTTTTTTTAAATAAAAACATGTACTTGGGGAAGATTGAGTTGTTTATGTCTTCTCTTTTGGTAAGACAATTCGTGCTGATTTGCCCTCAGATAGATATGATATGGCACAAGCATTAATAAATTAATAGTAATTTTAATTTATAAAAATCTATTTAACCACAGAGTTAATCTTATACATAAAATAATAAATTACAAACTTTTTTGGCATAGCTAAGTTCAACATACTGTATTGGAAATTCATCACAGATCTTTGTGAAATCTAAGAAAATAAACAAGTCAAACCGGTTATACACGGAAACATTGTAATAAAATAGTTTCACTTTTAAGCTACAGCAAGGATCACTGGGAAAACCAACACCCCAATCACCATCACTTTACTGTAAGTGGGTCAACCCCATAAAGATCTTACGCTGTAAAAAGCTTAAGCTGAAACTAGGCCAATGAAACGTCTGGGTGGCTGATCTGAACTAATGAACTTTCCAACTTTTAGATTGGAAAACTTTGAAAGGCCCAGAGAAATTTATGGATTAAGAAAATGGGGAAATATAAATTTAATATGTATACGTCGCTGAAAAAGTTTGTTTATTAATTTTGTAAATTAAATAATGGATTTTAAGTGTTAATTTTACGGGAATGTCACAATATCAAAAATATTCAGCGCTGTGCAAATTTAGCAACTCAAAATGTAGTTATGATAATTTTACACAGGAGAAAGTCTTCAGTCACAGATGGAGTAAATACAGAATTACTTGATGGTGTTAAAAGTAAATAGCAAATAGACCAAAATAATTTATGAAATGAAAATTTTAGTAGAAAACCCCTCACTACACCACACAAAATTAAATAAACCAGAAAAACTCATCTTATCAAAAAGAACCCAACGATTTCGACAGCTGTATCCAACATGCATACTCACTAGGGATGGAAGTGCAAAAAGCGTCCTGGCAGCGGCAAACAGAACTTGCCGCACTTACTGACGATCAGAAGGCCCACAACCACGACATCACAACAATATCACTTACGAATTTACCGACGTGAGTTTCGCGGATCTGAAGAGTCTTCGTCCTGAAGAAGGACGAACTCGCTCGCGCCTGCGTGCGGGAAAGGTCGCGTACGTAGCCAATGGCGGCGCACGCTCGTCCAATCAATATGGCGGTGACGCAACCCTCCTAAACCAATACTAGACTAGGACAACGTCTTTAATCGATGTGCCGAAAACCGCAAATCGTAGGTGTGACAGCACAATGTCCATTGAGGGGAATTTCCGTGACGGTGGAATGACTTTTGACTGACGAGATTGGCGAAGGGAGAGATAGTTAGGGATGTGGGGGACGAGAGGAGTGTGGGATGTGGGGATAGTTGCACAATAGTTACCATATTAACTGGGTAAAATACGCAGAATTGTGCAATGAAGGTGTATGACATCGATATAGAGCCTAGAACGTGGAATTGACAATTTGTTGATGGTGCTGTAATAGACCAACGTTAAACGCACAAGTATGCACAAGCACAATGATTAGTTAGTTAATTAATTGAACAATATGTATTGGATATTTTGTAAAAGGACATGGGCGGAAGGATGAAGTAGGATAAATAAATGATAATACTGAACTGATAATACTGATAAATGTGCCTCACGAATTAAACGCTGAAACGCTTGATAAATAAACATCACATACAGCGTTGTCCCTTTGAATACATAATATGCTTAAAAGTTCAAAGGGAATCCTAATGGTCAAAGGAACGGGTTGATTATTAGGGCGATATAAATGACGAAGAACAATTGGATAAATAACACGATTCGAGTTCGAACGTATTGCAGCCAGAGTAACAATTTGGAATTTTTCAAAGAATATCCTTGTTAAGCGCATAAAAGCATTGATTAGGGATTAACCGATATAATTAGTAATTGAAATAAAAGTTTGATAAGTGGATATTTTAATCGCTGCATACGTATAAGAACTAAAGACAGTAAATATAAGCAAGGTCTCAATACCAAAGTAAGAGCTAGAACAAACTTTCTTTAAAATCACTTATCACGTTGAAGTAAGTGACATCCCTAAAACGCTTTTAAAGACAACAAAAAGATTCTTCGCGTTTGCTTCCAGAGTTACTCAACCTTGTAGTGTTACGTTGTTGTTATATTTATATCCGGAAACATTTCATAACAACGATCATGGCATATATAAAACAACAATCATATATCAAACGTGAATCATATATTAAAAAGTCAGTGCAACTACATACCACAATTGAATGGTTTAGTATTAGGCATTTTACCCGTTAAAACTAAATAATTTGAAACCCCAATATTTTTTTGAGTGTTATAAGTAGACTAAATAGAACGCGGCAATTTCAGAGCAATGTTTGTTTATCATCCTTAAGGATAATCACCTATCAGGAAGTAGGCCTGTGTCATAGATGACGCAAATTAATAACTAATATTACTAACTACATCTATGTCTTTGTGGGACCTAGGGTAACACGGAATTCTTGTATGCAACCCCTAACTTACAGTGCAATAATTTTGAGAATACAAAAATATATTTCACCTTTCTAACTAACGGGCTTATTAAAGGTTTTAATCATCCAAAAAATAAGCTATGATTGAAGTGTCTGGCCCCAGAGTCCGTCAACTTTGCATCAATCCGGAATTTCAAAACATAACAATGACAAATGACCTATGATAGATAGTTTCCCTATGTGTGAGCATTTAAATAAAAAAGTCAATGTAAGGTTACTAGATGTACGCAAGGATGGCAAATTTAACTGAAAGAGTGGTAATGCAGTAGGCGACATAAACAAGAACTTATTTAACTACAGCATCTGAAACCATCACCATAGTGCACCGGTGACGTATACAAAAACCAATAAAACATTGTTTTACTTGACGCAGACGCTCCAATGACGTCAACAACCACGGCCGCCTTTAACTCCAACAACGCATTTACAATTCGAGACGCTCCAATGACGTCAACAACCACGGCCGCCTTTAACTCCAACAACGCATTTACAATTCGAGACGCTCCAATGACGTCAACAACCACGGCCGCCTTTAACTCCAACAACGCATTTACAATTCGCCGCGGAAGGGATCAACCATTGACTTTGACTATATACCATATACTTAACGGTATATATTGAACCAGCCTTCTAATTTAAACGTTAGAATCCAGCAGTAATAAAACATGAGACAGGAAAAAGCAGCAATAAACACAAGTGTAGGGAATAACCATAAGACGGCTTTGAATGATCTAATCGTGAGAAGGACGGGAACTGACAAAAAGAGTGCACCAATTATGATGTCACTCTTTTCTACTGTCTGGACTGGAATAGCAGCATAAACAGGCAACTGCTTATGCTGCTATTCCATTAAATCCTTCTGTGTCCCAGACGCAGTAAAAGCTGGGAACCCCTGTGAGGTGGTTTATTGGCTTATCCCCCTTCTCCCCGACAACGAGAACGACGACACTTGTTTATCTTTTCCCAGTTTCACGTAAATAGACAGTAATTATTATCTGACATGTCAATGGTGTCGATAAGGTGATTTAGATATATTTTTATGTATGGAAATATAATATTTATAATTTATATTTTTAGGGGGCAAGAAGGGTAATTTTACCATATATAATTTAAAAAATTAATGTCAGATAAGTGCGATGTCTATAACCATCGAGAATTGCTGTGTCTTGCGATTATATTAAAAGCCCCAAAGATAACTAAAGCACCCAGTTCCAAAACATTGGCCATGTGTACTTTTCGCATTGTTGAACTTCTGATTAGAAGGCGATCACTATAATCTTCGAGCAGATACAAACAAAACTGGAATCATTGAGCAAACCGGCATTACGCGTAAGAACCACAGAGCACGAAAAAACTGAGGATTTGATTAGAACATTAAGTCATAGCGTGATATGTTTGCATACCGAGAAAGTAGGTCGAATTAGAATAAAAGAATCATGGTGAAGGTACTATGAAAATCGCCTTTGGAAAATCGGGGGAGAAATATACATTTACTAAATACTTTATATAAAGATCCCCAAGTGCTAGTTAGCAAATAATTTGCCAGTCTATAGTACGATCCAAAGCTTTCGCCAGTGGCGTAAATAACACCCTCGCAACCCCCACAGCGAGTTTCCAAAGACTATACTTGTTAAGCGCATAAAACCATTGATTAGGGATTAACCGATATAATTAGTGCACCCATGTCCGAGTTTCACAGTTCACCGCAATCGCGGAAAAAGGTTTCTTTGTTTCCGTCACCACAGAAGACAATGATGATTTCTTAAGACCGCGGTATAAGTTCGAGATTGGGCCACTATCACAGAAAACTGTGACGAGTTTCCAAGACCGCGGGAGACGTAATCACGTCCACGCGACCGCGAGATAAATTCAAGATGTGGCCACGATGACTGCAGGAGACGGTGAAAAACGTCAGCGAGAGTGGTTTTGGATCTTTCCGACATCACTACTTTTGCCTTATTTTACTATGGTTTTGTGTTTTGTTTAATTCTACTGAACTTTTACTCATTTACGTGTTCTGCTTGGTTATTTTGGTGATGTTTCAGTCCAGAGAGCCGAAACCCCACCGGACTGAGGCTGTTCTATCCTCAAAGCAAAAATTGGCTGTCCCATTTCCTCTTCAGCCTTATCAAAAATACATTTTAGAGAGCCTGACTGATTCTTTTATGTTAGAGATCCTTCCTTCTCCCAAACTCAAACTCATTTAAACATATTTGAGAAATGCAATGCCAAACTCAAGATTGAGCTCTCTAGCACTATTGAGCATTGAAAGAGAACGGGCTCGTGCCATTGACTTGGAAAAGCTAGCAATTCACATTGTTATAACAGAAGAAGATCATTATTTTAATTGCCATAACTCATATCATAACATCATGCTTTTTCTGAATTGTGCAGTTTTTCCAGCCTTATCCTATTACAATGAAATAAACGAATGGGAGGGGGTGCCATCTGCATAGACTGCGGAGGTACGTCGCTCAACGTACTTACGCCACCGGCTTTAGCTGATTAACTATGTCTGATTCATTTGAAAAATACAAATTGAAAAGCTCGTGGTCTTACTTTGACCATGGATTAAACATATTTCCTCAGCTGAAGACAATACTATTGATATATGTTTGTGTCAGGCGTAGGTAAAGTGTGTTTTGATGTGAGACAAGTAGAAGATACTTAACCAGTTTTTAATGATAGTCCTCCAGAACCAAACAGAAGTACACGATTTTATCGAGAGGACGTCATAGAATAGACCATCAATGTATCGAACCTGAGAAAAGTTAAGAGCTTTTTTGATGGTTCTAAACTTGGACCAGCTGTTCCTTACCGTTGGGCTTTAAAAATGGTCCTGACTAATGATACTGCCGATCTTGGTCAGTAACAAAGCTATGTAGGCCTACACATTATTAATATCATTTTGAGATGGGACGCCACCTAGGTATTTAAACCCAAATATGAGTGAGGGATGAGTGTAGACTGTTGTGAGATGGTCATGGTCTGTGTAGCATTGTTACTGACTAAGATCAGCTATTTCATTAGTCGGGATATAGGTACTACCTCTCACCATTCTACACTCATCCTTCACTAATGTTTGGGTTTGAGTACGCACCTAGGTCGCGTCCCCACCTCAATTAATCATTGATAAACAAAATTGATATAAAAAGTGTAATTATCATACATTGAAACATTTACTCTAAAGGATGAGAAACGCTGTCCATACAGTGCACATAAACGTAACCGGGAAAGAACCCCATTAAACGGGCTCCAAACTCAACAAACATATGGAGCTACTTGCAGTGTCAATGGTTTAGATAAAAAATAATAAAAACAACCAATTTACAGCAAACTTTAAATTTTATTTAAAGCTTCGGTTCCGACGGCATAGTTAAAAAATCAATTAATGGAAGTTACAAGAAGTTCATAAATTTCATTGGCTACAGATAATTGAACAGTTCATTTCATTTCATTTATTCATTTCTACGGCAAATGCCATTAAACAATACATATCAAAACAAGATGGTCTGCAAAAATAAATACAAGAATAGCAAATCCAA